TAGAGCCTTTTCTTTAAAATATTTCTCACATGAGATACTGAATGATTTTTTTTTAAAGATTTTATTTATTTATTTGTCAGAGAGAGAGAGCGAGCACAGGCAGACAGAAGCAGAGGGAGAAGCAGGCTCCCCGCCGAGCAAGGAGACCGATGTGGGATTCGATCCCAGGACGCCGGGATCATGACCTGAGCCGAAGGCAGCTGCCCAACCAACTGAGCCACCCAGGCGTCCCCTGAATGATTTTTGTAAATCTTCAACTATCTTTCTTTCTCCCTTTGCTAGGTCCTGGTAGCTGGCCTTTTCTTTCATTACCTCACATTCCTTTTCGCTGTTGTTTAACTTCCAGGGTTGCAAATAAGAAAAATGAACTTTCTTTCTGCCTGGAAATGTGTGTAACATTGTTCTCATCCTTAGAGTTCAGGAATTTTCACCGGTATGGGGCTATATATTTCTTCAGCTCAGGGACATTCCCTGTTAAATTATTTAATTATGACGTCTCCTCTCCTGTTCCTCTTCTCCTAGAACTCATAGAATTTGCAGGCTAAATCTCCTGGGTCTGTTTCAGTCTCCCATCTTTCACCACATAATTTGCATCTCCGTATTTTTGTTACATGTTTTGAGATATTTCATCTGTTTAATTTTCTGGACCTCTTTTTGGGGTTTTAGCAGTAACATCCTCTCCTTTGCTTTCTGTATGGAAGTTTTTAGCTCTGATATCACATTTTCTAGTTCAGGGAAATCTTTTGTGTTTGACCTTCACAAATATCTCCCCCAGGCTCTCATTCAGTCAGAGATTCATTTGTTTCCTCCAGCCGGTCTCTCCGCCCTCTGGTTTGTCTGCATTCTCCTGGCCTCAAAGGCTGAGAAATTCATTCTACCGTTAGTTTTTTAGAGAGCTGGAGAGACTCAGCAAAGCCATTGATTGTTCCTGGGAAGCCAGCTGTTTCTGGGACTTGCTGCCTTCCTGAAGGTCCTTTTTCTTGGCTCTGAGACTGTTCTCCAGAAACTTGCCTGCAGGAAATTCACTCTGCCAGGAATTCAGCAGAGCCCATTTAAAGTTCATTCTCTGTAGCTGGGAGTTGTCAGAGGGGTTGTGGAAGGGAGAGCTTCACCAGGGTTTGCACGTACGTAGAATCCTCTTGCTCGAAGTATTCTTATTATTGACAGAATGATAATCACCAGAAGACTTAAACACAGAACCCATTAATAGCAAGTGCCTCTGTGAACTACAACCAGAAGTAGGAATGGGGTGGGGGGGATGGCCTTTTACTCCCCCCTGCCCCATTCTAGTATTTTTCAGCCTCAGCACTTTTAACTTTTGGGGACCGAAATTCTGTATGGTGAGTGGCTGACCTGTGTGTTGTGGGCCGGTCAGCAGCATCCCTGGTCTCTACCCCCTATAGATCAGTACCTCGGGGCACTCCCCAGCTGTGAAGACCAAACGTATCTCTGCACATTGCCAAATGTCTCCTGGGGGCCAAAGTCACTTCTGGTGGAGAACCATTGGTGTCTACCTTTCAGTTCTTTTTTTTTTTTTTTTTAACATGTACTCACACTATTCCTAAAATTAAACATTGAACCAAGGTCATGAGACAGAGGAGAAAATATCAAGCAGTTGAGAGGAAGCAGAAACCAGAAGTAGAGGATGAGGAAGCAAGTTAGCAAAGTAGGAAAAAACTGGGAATAAATAAAAGACACAGAAACTCTGTCAGAGTCATGGGACAGGAGGAGCGGAGTGGGAAGACCCGCATACTCCTGTCACCAAGGTCCCCAGCAAGGCTGTGATTTGAGATCTGAAATCCAGCAACAGTCTGCAGAGGCCCAGTCATACCATAGCCACTGTTCTGCAATTCCCATTCCATTCGGCTTCCTCCCTGCCACAAGTGTCCTAACAATAAACACCCCTTCATTTAACCAAGGCTGAGTGAGTGTATTCCTTACAAACAAAGCCCCATAGACTTGGTGCCCAGTGAAGAGACGGACTGTCCACAGTTTCCTACCAGTACTATATGTACCTCTTAGTATCACACTTGAAGAGAGACTCTGCTCAAGCAAAACAGTGGGAATGATGAGTAGCTGCCAATATCTGTAAAAGGAATTCTAGAAAGCTTTTTCCGGGAGGGAGGAAAAAAAAAAAAAGACTTAGGCCATCCATCAGGGCTATCATGTACAGGAGGGAGAGGGGCAATTATATGATTGTAGCTCAGGAGGGAGAATTGATTACAAAAGTAACAGGCAGATTTTGTCCCCCCCACTCCCCACCGAAAAGTTCTCTCAAAAAGAAAGATTGGAAATAAGTGCTTGGGTAAGGTAGTGAGGTCCCTAGTCCTGGAAATGTTTAAGAAGTGGCTGGCAGGATGGCTCCTGCAGTGGGTATAAGTTTGGGCCAGATTTGCCTCCTCCCAGCTGTAGAATTCTAGAAATTTAAAAGCCTGGCAAGAGGCACACACCAAGCAGAAATATTTGAGGGTCAAATGGCATTATAGTTCATTTAAATAAGTCCGCAGAGGATGGGCTAGTGGAGGAGTTGAGCAATAAGGGAAGATCTCAGAGGTTCAGCATCTTCTGCTGGCTCTGGTGTGCTGATCTTTCCCTCATAGAATGACTTCAGCAAAAAAGAGAATGCATTAGCTTACATAACCAAAAAGTTCAGGAGGCAGATCTAGCTCTAGGCATGTCGGGATCCAAGGTTCCAAATGAAGTCATTACAACTTGGTCTCTTTCCAGGTCCCAGCTCTGTTTCCCTCTTTACAGCCAAAACAAGCCAAAACAAGCTTGGGAGTTTAGACTCATCTTTACAGAGTACAGAGCAAGGCCAAAGATGGGGGGGTCTTGGCTGGATAGCTTCATAGGCCCCCCTCCCCACCTAAAAGTGATTCCTTTTTTTTTTTTTCTTTAAAGATTTTATTTATTCATTTGACAGAGAGAGAGACAGTGAGAGAGGAAACATAAGCAGGGGAAGTGGGAGAGGGAGAAGGAGGCTTCCTGCCAAGCAGGGAGCCTGATGCGGGACTTGATCCCAGGACCCTGGAATCATGACCTGAGCCGAAGACAGACACTTAACAACTGAGCCACCAAGGTGCCCCTACCAGTGATTCCTTAAGAACCTTCTATCCTTGAACATTTGACCATCCCAAAGGCCCTTCCTCTTTGGATCTTGGGCTTGTCCCCAGTCCTCCCAGCTGAGATGACAGGAAGAGGGGGAAAGCTGGGGCTCCATACTCCGGAGGGCTCTCATGGCTTCCCCCAATGATCTTCCCCTGGGAATTTGCCAGGAACAGGGTACTCCTTTTATTTATTTATTTATTTATTTATTTATTTATTTATTTATTTATTTCAGAGATCACAAGTAGGCAGAGAGACAGGCAGAGAGAGGAGGAAGCAGGCTCCCCGCAGCGCAGAGAGCCCGATGTGGGGCTCGAGGACCCTGGGATCATGACTTGAGTCCAAGGCAGAGGCTTTAACCCACTGAGCCACCCAGGCACCCTGGAACAGGACCTTCCTAGTGGCTGGATCTTACACCAGTCAGGGAAGGGAGACCACTAAGAAAAGCACCCCTGGAGCTACAGAAGGGGAGACAACTGCAAGGTGTTTGGGAAACGAGCTGACCAGCTTAGAGGAATGGGGCAAGGGGGTCCCCGAAGATGTCTGAGGTGGAGCTGGCTGCCCCAATTTTTTTTTTTTCTTAGACGCAGGGATCAACTAGGACGTTGCCGCACAGTCCTGGCCTTCAGTCCCGAGGGCCTCGGCCAGGGCACGAGCCTCGGAGACAGACGAGTAAGACAGAAAAATTAAAAGGTTGTAGCGAAGAGACAAGGTATAAGATCTGGGCTTCAGAGACCAGAAGTAAAATAACGTTCAAACCGCATCCAGCTCCAGATCTAGCGAGTCCCTACGTCCCGCGAACCGCGAAACTGCTGTTCTGGGAACCACAGGGTCCCGGCTCCGCGAAGGGTAGGGCTAAACTCCTGGGGCGGGTAAGATTAAGGGAGGAAGGGTGGGGAACTGTCGGGACTACATTTCCCAGCATGCTGTGGACGGGGCAGTTTTACGCATGCGCAGAGGCCGTGGCAAGGCTGCGATGTGTCTGACGGGGGCGCTCCGGGTTTGGTCCTGAGATGGGCAGAGTGGATGTAAGGTGGAGTGTTAAGTCCTGCGATGGTGGTGTTTGAGGCCTCGGCTGCAGTTTTCGGCTCGTCCCAGTGTGTTGGCGGGACCCTAAGCCCCTTCTCTTACAGAGCCTGTCTTTCACGTCCCCCAGGCCGCGGAATTGAGCGGTCTGCAGACTAGCAATCCTCAGAACCCCACATCCCGCTGCCAGTGGTTCCCCGCATCCGGTGCCGGCCCCCAAAGCCACCTTCCCTCCCACACAGCCTCAGCTGCCTGTTCCTACCGCGACCGGCGCCTCTGCTGGGGGAGGCCCAAGTTGAGGTCCACGGAGGCGGATCTGGCATTTGGGTTATTCTCTGTGTGTGTGTAGAGGGTCTGCCTTATTGGGACCACCAGGTAAGGCTCAGGAGCACGGTTCCCTACTCTGGTTTTCTCTGGGACTGTGAGTGGGAAGGAGAGATGTTTGGAAGTAGAAGCCTGGCTTCCACTATCTTCTGGCCCTGAAACCTCAGAAAGGTCTATTAAGCCAGACTTACCTCTACAGAAGCCGTAGGGTGAAGTGGTGGAGACTTGAGGTTGTGGCTGGTGGCAGCACAGTCATAGAGGCCACGGGGAGAGTGGGTCAGGAGCTGGGGAGCTTGCAACACCAGGTGATAGAAGTGGGGTGGCTCTGAGTGCAAATTCTAACGATGATCTAGCAGCAAGTACGGCTTGAGCTGGGCTCCAGCCTCCACCCCAGCACTCACCCTGGCAGTGTTGATGCCACTGATGCTCTTGGTCCATCTTCCCCAGCAAGGCGCCCCCAGAAGTGCTCTGTACAGAAAGCAAAGCTCACAACCCTACCATATAGGGCCTGTTGCAGGTCTGAAGCCTCCAGATAAAAATCTAAACACTTTCTGAGAAGTTTTATTTGAAAAACTTGGGGACATAACAGAGGCAGCAGGATGTGGGCTGGTATTCTCCAGCCAGGGTTCTCAGATAAGAAGCCAGGCTTGGGTTCCTCAGGTCGCTAGGTTCCAGGATCCCTCCAGACTATGGGGTCCCAACGAGAATACCCACCCTTCTCTCAGGCGGTTACCCCCTCCACCACTGCCCACTTCCGGTATCTGAGCGGACTCTGAACTATAGACTTTAAGGGAGCCGAAACAGAGAGGATCTGGTTAAAATCCACAAGGACGGGAAGTGAGTAACTTGGGAGCTTGGGGCCTTAGGGGAATAAATAGTTTCCTCCATCCCCAAGAAACCAGGGACCTACTCGTTCCCCTGAAGTGTCTCCCTCACTTAGAGGGGAAGTTTGGGAAACATTACCTCCTGTGACCAGACATTGACTACCTGTCTTTGGGGGGGTGGTTGGGAAACAGTCATGCTGGGGCAGGGTAGCAGTAACCCCTGCAGCAGAGGAGGCTGGGGTGATGATCGTCCCACTCTGCCAGCTCCTCCGTCTCAGCTGGGTGCAGGCTGGCTGTTGGCATAGGCCTGGTCTGGGAAGGAAGCCCGTGCCCTGCGGGTCTGGGCACACACTGAGGCGTACAGCTCCGGCTCGGGGCTTGAGGCCTGGGGCTTTGGCTCAGAATCCAGCACCACCTCTGAGTACTTGATGGGGGTTCCGGGGCTGGGGAGATGGCCCTGAGAAGGCCGCAACTGCAGGCTGGTATAGCACATCACTTTTTCTGTAGCCTGGAGATGCAAGGCTGTTAGAAGTTCACTGGACCCTTGGAAAAGCCCTCACTTCCTTCCCTCCCCCCTTCCTCAGCCACAACTGACTCACCGTGACAGGGTCTCTAGGAGCTGGATCTTGCTGGTCTGGCCCTGGTTCTTGAGACAGCCGACCTGGGATAGGGAACAGTAGTAATCTGGTCACTTCTTGTTCTTCCTCCTGCCATCCTTCATCCCACCCACCCAGGACATGCGTGGCCTTGGTGCCCCTCCCCTTTGCCAGTTCCCTACCAGTCTGAAGATAAGGCAGGTTCCCATATAGGGGGACCTCTTCCACAGATCCTCCAGAGCTGCAAGACAGAGATGAGGGGATGAGGGGACATCTGGGTAAGGGGGAACTCTCAGTCACCTATCTCTGTTGTCCCTACTCACCGTCCTTGTCCCGGATGGCTTCTGTTCCGGCCACTAGTCCATCGGAACAAGTGCGCAGCCAGTGAGATGAGAAGCAGCAGCGTCACAGCCCCTAAGAGGGCCCACAATCCCCAGGCCTGAGTCACAGTGGGGATTCCTGTGGACGCCAGGGTATGGGGGCTGTTACTGCCCAGCCCAGCCCAGCCCTCCAGGTCCCAGCAGGTGGGACAAGGGGCCATGTGACCCCTCCCCCTGCCCCTGCCCCGCCCAGCTCACCGGGCACTAGCAGTTCTGTGACTTCTGTGCGGTTGGCACCTCTGCTCATGACTGCTGACCTGGGAGCTGAGTCTGTAAGCCCTGCGCTGAGGGGTCAGCCTGGCTTATGGCCTGATTGCTGCTGCAGGCCCTTTTACTCTCAGCCCTCCCCAGGCCTGGCCCCCACAGTTCATCCCCAATACTGCTGGTGGCAGAGTCACTGGTTTCCGGGGAGGAAGGGGGAGGGGAGGGATGAGCGAAAGAACAAAGACACCGCCCTGTGCCTGCACCTGCGCCACCCAGCATCTCCCAAGCTTCCGCCCCCACCCCTCGTGGCCCTATACCTTCTTTGGCCGGAGAAGAGAAGCAGACCTGCGATTTCTGTGCCACTGTGCAGGTGAGCCCATGAAGACTCCCAGGAGACAACGTAGCATGGGGCAGGACCAACAAGACAAGGAAGCCAGGCCTTAGGACAGAGATTCCTCTCTGCCGCAGGGTGTCTGCCTTTTCTCTCGCACTCTGAGACCCGTGAGAGAGAATATATTCCTCACTGAGCATACTAGCAAGAGGAATGAGACGGGGAGGCCTCCTAGTACCTAAAATCCCATCACACCCTAAGGCTGAGTGTAGGAGATAAGATGACCATTGTCATTCTTATTACTACTGGTGTAATAGTTTAGGGCATAGAGGAAACTTATATTCTCCCCCTCCCGACCCACTTTATCCAAACTGTCCCAAGAACTGTCAGTCTCAAAAGTTATTTGAATCAAAGAAACCTCTACCCCAGTACATCCTGGAAACTGAGCCATGTCTTTGCGCTTGTTCCCTTCAGGAAGTGGAGCACCTGCACTGCTCAATACAGCCCAACCACATGGGCTGCTATCGATGCGGAAGAAGGATTTCAAGTTCCTTAGACCAGAGGTCAGTGATATGTCTGGCAATCGTGGGCCCAAATTCCCTAAAGGCAACCATCAGTCAAGGGCCACTTATCGTTGACTATGCCAGCTGGCTTAGGGTCAAGGTTTGGACTACACGGCTCTGCAACCAGGCTGCCTCTAGATCAGTTAGACTACGGTAACTCCTGTGACTGCAAGTCTCTCCTCCTGGACCTGCCCCCTCCATTTCTGGAAGAACAAGAAGATACACTCCTAGTTCATTCATTTATTTGGCACACATATACCTCATTCATTTGTCACCTGTGCCGATTGCTTGCTTATGTGCCAAGCTTTGGAGATAAAGATGTGAGTGGGAAATGGTTTCTTTCCTCAAAGGGCTCTTGATCTAATTAGGAAGATGACCCAATGTGTCCCAGACAATTAAAAGGCAACATGAAACATGGGAACTCTCCAGCTGCCTGAGGTCCTGGAGGTGAAAGGAAGGGCTGGGGGGTTGGGGGGTGTTATGTGGTAACTGATAGGGAGACAGGCAGAAAGCTTTGGAATCTCTGACTTGCCTCTTATCTGATGGACTTACTTAACCTTCCTGAACCTTTGTTTCTTCATTCTTCATTCTTTGTTTTTTTATTTTTAATATTTATCTATTTGAGAGGGAGAGAGAGAGTATGAGCAAGGGAAGGGGCAGAGGGAGAGGGAGAAGCAGACTTCCATCCAGCATCCAGCATGGAGCCTGAACCGGGACTCATTCTTTTTTTTTTTTTTTTTTTTTTTTTTTTAAGATTTTATTCATTTGACAGACAGAGATCACAAGTAGGCAGAGAGGCAGGCAGGGGGGTTGGGGAAGCAGTCTCCCTGCTGAGCAGAGAGCCCGATGCGGGGCTCGGGCTCGATTGGAGGACCCTGGAATCATGACCCGAGCTGAAGGCAGAGACTTTAACCCACTGAGCCACCCAGGCGCCCCAGGACTCATTCTTTAAAAGAGTTTAATTAGGGGCTCCTGGGTGGCTCAGTCAGTTAAATGTCTGCCTTCAGCTCAACTCATGATCTGTGGGTCCTGGAATCCAGCTCCGGTCAGGCTCCTTGCTGAGCAGGGAGTCTGCTTCTCTTTGCCCTCCTCACTGCTTGTGCTGTCTCTCGCTCTCAAATAAAATATATTTTTTTTAAAAAGAGCTTAATTATATTTACCTGTTTGGTTGTATTTCGTTCAACAAGGATTCATTGAGTGCCTGCTAGCGACCAGTGCTGTGCTAAGCTGTAGGAATAAAATTGTAAAGAAAAGAAATATGGCCTCTGCTCTCCTGCAATTTGCAGTCTAGTGGTATTTTCTTTTTATAATTAATTTTAATGGATTAATTGATTTTAATTAACTGATTTTAAAGAACCAAAATGGATTTTTTCCAGCTTTATTGAGATCTAACTAACATATGATGGTGGCTGAAAGAAAGTACAATAGCTGCATTAATGAATAAACTCAAGGATTCTGAATGAAGGAAACACACCTGAGATCTGAAGGGTGTTTAGACGTTAACTGTACAGAAAGGAAATAGCAGTGGAAGATGCCGAAGAGAGTTCTAATTTCAAGGGCCTGGGTCGTAGCAGCTGCTCAAATTAAAATCACTGGTAGGTAGGCACAGTTCTTTCTTTCTTTCTTTTTTTTTTTCCTTCACAAGTAGGCAGAAAGTCGGGTAGAGAAGGGGAGGGGAGGGGGGAGCAGGCTCCCCGCTGAGCGGAGAGCCGGTGCGGGGTCTGATCCTACGACCCTGGGATCATGACCTGAGCCAAAGGCAGAGGCTTTAACCCACTGAGCCACCCAGGCGTGCCCAGTACGCATAGTTCTAAGGACTTTCCTTGGATTATCCCACTTAATCATCATAACAACTCCGTAAAGTACAGATAGTGTATTATCATTATCTCCATTCCTCAGAGTGGAGACTGAGGCACAGAGCGAAATTAAGTAACTTGCCCAAAGTCATTTAGCTTTCGAGTAGCGGAGGCAGGTTCTAGGCCAATCAGTCCATAGTCTACTCTGTGCCGTGGGGGGTAGAGAAGGCCACTGTAGGAAGAGGGAACTGCAAAAAGGAAGAAACTCCAACCGATGTGATAACATACAGCGCGTTAGGTCATAGGAGAAAATGATTCAGGAGTGAATTAGTCAGCTTGCGGCTTCCATCCTTGAGCCGGCAACAGGACCCGGAACAGAGACCCTCCGCAGGGGAGGGCCTATTAGTCCCACTTCTAAAATTCAGCCGCGCTGAGAATGAGCCCCGTGTGGTTGGTGCGCCCAGGCGCGCGCACTGCCTGCGTAACTAGAAACGCTGACGGACGACTGCCCTGCAGCACGCCGCTCAGCTCCCCCGCAGCACACGGGATCGCTTCTCGGCGGACGTTACAGTGCGAAGCAGGGAAAGTCAACGTGCACGCGCACGCGGCACTCTCTGCCAAAGGGTCCGGGGACTTTCCCCTAGGCACGGATAAGGAACTAGTCCCTCGCTTGTAGCCTAGGAAACAGGCCTTCAGCACGAACTACACACGCTCTTCATAGATCATTCTTTTAAGGTTCGCTCTCCTAAGCATTTTATGATTAGGGTGAATATGTTGAGAATATGAGAAATAAAATCCATTTTCCAGCATAATCTTATAAGATTGTAGGCTCCTAGAAGAATTCTGGCTAATAGAATTCCTAAATAGATGAGAAATTAATTCATTTGGGAAAGTTGGGCCAAGGTCCTATGCTAATAAGCTTGCCCCGCCCACACACTAAGTAGGCGTGACCTCCCAGCGCGTCCCGGTACGCGACCCTCGCACCGCCCCTCTTGCGCATGCGCAGCGGGACTCCCGGCCAACTCTGGCGCCTCCAGGGCCTTCGTTCTGTGGCCTGCAATGGCGGGGTCGGTCCCGTTTGCGGGTTTGCTGGGGTTGCTACTTGTGTCTGCACTGCCCGTGGTCCTCGGAGACCGCCCCAGCACCGACCTCCGGGCACACCCAGGTATCAGCGAGGGCTTCTGGAGGGAGGTTAAGACTGCCCATGGGTCCCCAGGCCCCGGCTCTACTGACCCACCTCTGCCGTCCTCAGCAGGGGGCCATGCCCAGGTCGGCCCTGAGGCCACGGAACCCCGGCGACGGTCGCCGCCCAAGGACCAGCGAGAGCGGGCCCGGGCGGGAGCTCTGCCTTTGGGGGCGCTGTATACCGCAGCTGTCGTGGCTTTTGTGCTGTACAAGTGTTTGCAGGTGCGGGAAGACGAGGGGTGGGGATGCTCCGGGCCTGAATCTCCCATGGGGGCGCTATGGTACGATGAACAAGACACTTCTTTTCGTCAGTTTGTAAAACGGAGACGTAGTTCCTTGGCTTTCCAACACTAGAGGGTTATTTTGAGCATCCAGCGAGGTAGCAGATGTGAAGCGTTCTTGGTAAATTGTAAATAAATAATGACCACATTTAATTCTCCCAACAGTCCAATGAAGAGATTAAGTCATTTGCTCAAAGTCACACAGAGCTGGTAGTAACTGGGATTTGAACCCAGCAAGTATGTGTCCATACTACGGAAGTGTGGCTGCTGGTAAAATTCTAGTCTTGGCACAACGTGTTGGTTGCTGTAGCCACAATATGGAAGGCCCTAGTCTCATGTTCTCCTTGGAAAGGAGGCCCTGAAATGTAAAATGACAGTACGTTTTAGTGTATGGAAATGGTTGGAATGGAAAATACCTTCCAAGGCTCTATCCTCAAACCTGGCCTGATTACTTATTTGCATTAGGAAGTAGAAGGCTGAACCAATTTGGAGGGGATATGAAATTAAAAGGGATAGCTAGTCATGATTCCAAATAGACTGGACAGGTTATGATGAGGGACTATCACGATGAAATTTAAAAAGAATCAATAAATTATATTTGTGGACCCAAGTACTATCTGGAAGAAACATAACTTAACAGCAGTTTATTAGTTGAATAATAAAGTTCAGTCATGTGTTATGAAACCCACTTCCCCAGGCAATGCTAGGAACAAGGTATTGCATCTCATCTTCTGATCAGAACATTCGAGAGAATTTTACTCTCTTCAGGGAACTACTAAGAACACTATGTGCCCAATAGAGCAACCAGAGAAAACCATATCAAATGAACAGCGACTAAAACTAGAGATATTAAACCAGAGAAGACATGGGGAAGGGGAGTGGGCAAAGACCATTGTCTTCAAATTCCTGAGTGGCTATCATGTTGAAAAGACATGGCTTTGGAAGGCAACATGGAAAGAAGATACATAAAGGAAAGTTTTTGGTTTTGTGTATAAACTAACAACCAGA